AGCAATTTAAAAATAATTTTCAGCAGTATTTTACTTGCATATGATACTAATTCCATTGTTTGATAATTCCCACATTTCGTTAGTTCTCTGTTCTTAGGAATGGGAACATATGAATCTCATCCAGTCAGTCATCTAGGTAGTCATCCTCCAAATCTCCTGGCACAGACTGGTGAGCACTCCCAGGGCTGCTTCTGTTAGTTAAAACATGTCACATGGTATCCATCAATTCCTAGGGCTTTATTTTTTTGCCACCACCTTCACTGCAACTTGAACTTCTTCCTTCATTACCATTGTCTCATGATCATATGGTACTTGCTGAAATATTTCAGTGTCAGCCAATTCTTTTTGTTATAGCAATTCTGTGTATTCTTTCCATCTTCTTTTGATGCTTCCTAGATCATTCAAGATTTTGCCTATTGCAACCCTCAGTATTTCAACTCGAGGACTGAATTTGTTTTTCAGTTCTTTCAACTTGATAAATGCCAAGTGAGTTATTCCCTTTTTTTTTTCTCTCCGATTCTAGGTCTCTTAACATTCAATTGCAATATTTTGCTTTGAGGTGCCTGCCCTTTGAAGTCCTTTGTTCAGCTCTTATACTACAGCATCTCTTCGTTTTAGCTTCTCACAGCTATTGTGTGATTTTCAGAGTCTCTTATGACATTCAATAAGCAAAGTTGTGCCATCCGCATATTGTAGGCTGTTAATGAATCTCCCTCCAACCTTGATGCCACACTCCTTTCCTCATAAAGCCCTGCTTCCCAAATCATCTGTTCTGCATACAGATGGAATAGGTATGGGGACAGTATGCATTCCTGATGCACTCCTTTCCTGATTTTAAATCATGCAGTGTTTCTTTGCTCTGTTCTGAAGACTGCTTTGTGGTCCAAGTATAGGTTTTTCTAAGTACTTTCAAGTGTTCTGAGATTCCCATTTTCCTCAAGGTTAGCCGCAATTTACTGATCCACACAGTCAAATGTCTTTGAATAGTCAATGAAACACAAAGAGGCATTCTTCTTTGCTTTCTACCACGATCCATCTGACATTGGCAATAATGTCCCTAGTGCCACAACCTCTTCTAAACCCAGCTTATATTTCTGGTAGCTCTCTGTCAATGTTCAAGTCTTTTCTGGATAATCTTCAGCAGAATTTTGCTAGTGTGTGATATTAGTGATATTTTTTCTATAATTTCCACACTCTGTCGGGTCACCTTTTTTTGTAATGGGAATAAATATTTATCTATTCCAGTCAGTTGGCCAAGTAGTTGTCTTCCATATTACTTGGCACAACTTGGTGAGCGCAGGCAGGGCAACATCTGTTTGCTCAAATATGTCAATTGGTACTCCATCAATTCCTTGGGCTTTAATTTTTGCCAAGTCCTTCAGAGCAGCCTAAACTTTCTCTTTCATAACCATTGCCTCTTAATCATATGTTATTTCTTGAAATTTTTTTGTGTCAGACAGTTCTTTTTGGTACAATGACTTTGTATAATCCTTCCATTTTCTTTTAATGCTTCCTGAGACATTGAATATTTTGCCTATAGCACTGTTAAGCATTGCAACTCATGGCTTGAATTTATTCCTTAAGTTCTTTTAGCTTAAGAAATGCTGATTACTTGTTACTCTTCAGAGAGTTGGACAATGACTAAGGATGACAGAAGAAGAATAGATGCCTTTGAGTTGTGGTGCTGAAGAAAAGTTTTGAACTGGATTGCCAAGAAAACAAATAGGTCTGTCTTGGAGAGGGTAAAACCAAGTCTCCTTGGACACTAGGATTTTGAAGCTCCACCTCACTTATTTTGGGGATGCGGCCAGGAGAGATCAGTTCTTGGAGAAGGCCATCATGCTCGGAAGGGTGGATGGACAGCACAGGAGAGGAAGACCCCAGATGAGATGGATTAATACAGTAACTGGGGCAATGGAGATTGTCGGAGTTAGTGAGATTGGCTCAGGACAGGGAAGGGTTCAGAGCTGCCGTACATAGGGTCGCCTTACAGCACAGGTGATTCAATGGCACTTAACAAAAACATAGTATGACAGGTTTGGAAGCAGGAGTGGTGTCCATTTCCTAAGTAACATGCCTCTGGAAACTCTATGAACTTTGGTAAACGTCAATGGTTGTAGAGGGATTTGCTATGAGTCATGCTTGACTCGAAAGCAATCAACACACACAATACACAATTACGACATTTACTTTGGTTTTTTTCATCCTCGTCTGTCTTTGTAACGACATTTTGCTCCTTATGGATGTTATTGTTGCTGAGTATTATCAAGTTGGAACTGACCCACAGGTGACCCTCCAGTGGGTCTTCAGAGGCAGTAAATTGCTTGGGAGGGTATTGCCCATCCTTTTCCCATGGAGCAGATTTTGAGATTGCAGCATAGCTTCTTACCACTAGGCCACCAGAGTTGATTGTATGAAGTACAGCTTGTATGAGGGATTGCATGGGGCACAATGTGTATGGATAAAGCACAGTGTATATAGGTGACTATATGCAAATAAATTTTAAAAAAATTGTGTGTGTGGAAGGAATAAAAACATGCATGATATAATGCACTTGGGATAGGGTACATTTAGAAAATGCATAATTCAGCCTCTGGCCAGTACTTGATTAAAAGAACTGAAAGGAAAGATCTGCCCTGAAGATAAGCTTGTTAAAAGTAGAATTCACCACTGGGTCAATTGGCAGCATCATGAAAGATGGAGAAGAGACTGAGGTTTATAACAATTTCAACTTGCTTGATTTACTATCAACAGTCTTGGCACCAGCAGTTTCAAAATCACAAGATGAACTGCATTGGGAAAGTCTACTGTCAGGGATCTCTCCAGAGTGCCGAAGAGCAATGCTGTCATTCTAGAGACAGAGGTGCACCTGATCAAGGCCATAGTCTTCTCAATTACTCGATATGGATCAGAGAGCTGGACAACAACTGAGGATGACAGAAGAAGAATCAATGCTTTTGAGTTGTGGTATTGAAGAAGAGTATTGAACATACCATGGAATGCCAAGAGAACAAATACATTTGATGTGGAGAGGGTGAACCCGGCTGTTCCTTGGAGGCACTCCATCTCATATGCTTTGGGCATATGGCCAAGAGAGACCAGTCCTTGGAGAAGGGCATAATGTTTGGAAGGTTTGCAGGTCAAGACAGAAGAGGAAGACTCTGGACGAGATGGATTGCCACAGTGACTATGGCAGTGTGGGCAGATGTGTCAGAGATTGTGAGATTGGTTCAAAATAGGACAGGGTTTAGAGCTATTGTTCATAGTGTCACTATGAATTGTAGTTGACTTGATGGCACATAACAACAACACTCAGGCTTAGTCTAGGTGAAAGATTAAGTTTCATCCAGTACTCTTTGATTTGCTATTGAATGTATTTGTAGATCTTCCTTGGACTTTTGATTGAAGAGATTCACATTTGAAAGAAAGGCAAGCAGGAAGCGAGAGAAAGGAAAGAGAGGAAGAAAGAAAGGAAGGGAAGAAGGAAGGAAGGAAGGAAGGAAGGAAGGAAGGAAGGGAGGGAGGAAGGAAGGAAGGAAGGAAGGAAGGAAGAAAGGAAGGAAGAAAGAAAGAAGAGACAGAAAGAGAAAGAGAGAGAGAGAGAATGAATAATTTTTAAAAACAGGAACACGCTGGTTGGCTTCTTAGGCAGGGTAAAGTTGGTACCCATCAGAGCTCACTCTAGAACAGGTCATTAAACGAAGCTGTTGAGTATGCTCTCTTGTAGGGAACACTGGGACCCATTGGAGGAGCCATGCAATAATGAAGAGACAGGCTGAGCTTGGACATATTCCTCCAGCACTGAGCACCTAGCATGCACAAATGTATAGATACCAAAGACATGGTGGCTACTTTGAGGAGCAGGGAGACATGACTTATTGACTTGGTTCCATGTGGGGACTAAGTTTGGGTGAAGGGTTCAACTTGTCTGCAACACAGAAGTGTGGACTCATTTTTTTTTTTTTGCTGATGTCCATTTGGGCCTCGCCACAAATATCTGAGGATGAGTTGACCGGAACCCAACCTGATAAAGAGAAAAGGATCCATGCTGTGAGTGAGGTTGATTACTGCAACCTGATGGCTTGCTCTGGACTGGACTTTGCTTATGGGTCCAGATGCTCAAAGTTTCCAAAACGAACAGAATAATCCTCAGCAAAATAGACACACTTGTTCCCTTGGAGTACTGGTTTGATATGGATGGGCAGGGAATTGGCTGTCTACAATGGGGGTATTCAGGCATGAGACATGAAGTAGCTAGGTTACATGCGTTCACAAATTTAGTTATTTGTAAGATGATTGTAAGGGCAAAAACCCCCACTGTATAGATAAATTAAATACAATGTAACTGAAAAATTTTACAAGACATGAAACACAATATATGTGAAAGATTGTATGCAAACCAATAAATAGGTAATAAAAAAATTTAAGTCTAAGATACAATATTAAATGAATGTAGCAAAACCAAAGTTATCTATGGAATTTAAGCCATAAGTATGGAAAGTGTGTGTGTGTGTGTGTGTGTGTGTGTGTGTGTGTGTGTGTACGTGTGCGCACATACTTGAGAGTGCAAAAAAAGAAAGAAAAAAAATTAGGATTCCAGTCTCTTGTAGTGGTGAGAATTTCAAATTGTTATACTTTCTTTAGGAAGAACGGTCTGTGGACTTACTTTCAAAACTTTAACTAATGAGAAACCCATGGATCACAATGGTCTGACCACATTATAGACAGGACGGCCAAGAGCTGAAGAGTGACTCAATGGCAGCTAACAATAACAACAACATGATCTCTTTATATAATCTTCTAAGCATTTCCACTTTTCTATAAAAGCAAATATTTCTTTTAAAAAGTAGTGATACATCAAGAGATAAAGTCTTCGGTGATGATTACAACTAACTTTCCCATTCACGTAATTTGTAAATAAATGTCAAATTCTTATCATGATCAAATCAGACAAAATACTTTCCAGATCATTAATGTAATATTGGCTTTTTTCAGTTTACCAGAATTCCTCTCCCTCTTCCTTTTGATTTTGATTCTCTACTTCCAAGATAGGTTTGCTAGACACAAGATCTTTACAGACGTTGTCACTTGTAATTAAATTAGCAGTTGCTGTTTTTTGCCATACAGTGAAAGAATGTAATTGTTCAAATTCTTGTAAAAGCTTCAAGACCTGTAGAGTTAATGAAAAAAAAAAAATCCTATTTTGTATTACCCTTCAACTATATACAAATTCAACTATATAAGTTGTAAAAAAAAGAACTGCTTCTATTAAATGCTTAAATAATTATTGGCATTAAAATATCAATATAAATTGACATCTTAATTGAAGTTTCCAGTTTAATACTTTGTAATTGCTGAGTAACCAAAATGATTTTTACTATAAGAATAAGGGTGTAATTTTGTTTTGTTTTTGTTACAGTATTTTTAATCTTTGGAGTTGTTTCCTTAGAGTTCAGTATTGGATTTTTTTTTCTCTCTTTTTACAACAAAAAAGTAATTTTTTTTTGTCCTTAACTTTTGAATGTACTCCAAAGATTCATAAGAACCATGTAATGTAAGAAACACTATGCAGAATATTTATCTATATTACAGAGAATGAATTTATTCTAGTATAACTATAATTTGTAAATGTTCCAAACTATTATAGTAGTACTCACTTTTGTGTATGTAAGCATCATGGTCTTTGCAATTACTTGCTATGCATCAAAAAGCTGGACAATGACTAAGAAAAACAGAGGAAGAATTGATGCCTTTGAGTTATGGTGCTGGAGAAAAGTATTGAACATGCCATTGACAGCCAGGAGAACTAATAGGTCTGTCTTAGAGAGGGTGAAACCAACTTTCTCCTTGGAGGTTAGGATTTTGAAGCTCCATCTCATACACTTTGGGCATGTGGCCAGAAGGGACTAGTCTGTAGAGAAGAACATCATACTTGAAAGGGTGGAGGGACAGCACAGGAAAGGAAGACCCCCGGATAAGATGGACTGGCATAATAACTGGAGTAATGAGATTAGGTGTGTCGAAGTCAGTGAGAGTGGCTTGGGACAGGGCAGGGTTCAGAGCTGCTGTACATAGGGTCACTATGGGTGGCAGGTGACTCGATGGCACATAACAACAACAAATTATTAGATGATCCCTCAGTCTAAGCTCTGTACTCTCTACCCTAGACCTCAATCAGTTACTATAAGAAAATAATGATAGAGTGAAGCCCATGGAACTTACTGGTGTTGTTTTACAGCATATGTGAATGTAACATTTTTTCAAATAAAGAAGTGGAAGACCCTTGATGAGATGGATTAATTCAGTGACTGGGGTAATGAGGGTAGATGCGTCAGAGATAATAATGTTGGCACAGGATAGAGTAGGTTTCAAGGCTGTTGTACATAGGATCACTGTGAGTTGCAGGTGACTCGATGGCACATAACAACAACAACATGACCAAACCAAATGCAATGCTATGGGTCATTGTGACCTTCTATTCAGTTTCTAGGGATTTCCTCTTTACAGGAATTGAAAGTTTATTTTTCCCTTGGTGAAGCAGCAGGTGAATTTGGGCAACTCATGTTTAGGTTAGCAGCCTATGCCCGTAAGTCTCCTTATAGCACTTAGCATAATTGTCATTTATTCTTGTGTACTTCTCAGTGTCTTCCTTTGCCTTGGCCAAGTCATGAAGACTTTCCTCAAGTTGAGTATTGTCTTACCTTTCATCAGAATTTACTCTCATCTACTGTGTAGTTAGTGGTTCTCTCTTATCCCTTCCCTCGCTCTGGTGCCCATTAGAGAATACCTATTTCTGGCTTTTTAAAATCCAAGTGATTGTCCCACTGTGGCGGAGAGATGGGACTGGGCACTACCTTTGCAATGCCTGTGGACTCTACCACAAAATGAATGGGCAGAACGGACCTCTCATTAAGCCCAAGCGAAGGCTGTCGGCAGCAAGAACAGCAGGTACATCTTGTGCAAACTGCCAGACTACCACTACCACTCTCTGGAGGAGGAATGCCAACGGAGACTCTGTCTGCAATGCCTGCGGGCTGTACTACAAGCTGCACAATATTAACAGACCCCTGACTATGAAGAAGGAAGGAATCCAGACCAGAAACCGAAAAATGTCTAGCAAATCCAAAAAGTGCAAAAAGGTGCATGATAC